AGGTGTGTGTTTAAGCAAATACATGAAATACTCAGACTAGGTAAGCCAATACCTATATGTAAGATACATAATACATAACAGTGAAAGGGTTGAACCAGCTTATATCAGACGTGTCATGTTCTGTGTTCATCCAGTTTACCGTAATTTAATTTTTAAATTAAGGAACTGTCTCGAAATTGTACATTGTGGGCAGAGGCATAACGAAAAAATGCCAAGGCTCTAATATTTCGTCCTCGCTTCCCGCGATGCTTACTTGGAAACACAGCATTTAGAAAAGAAAACGCATCCAGAAATGTATTTCCACACTGCACGATTTGTATATGCTAACAATATTGGGCACCCTATAAATAAATAACGTTGTAAATGATTAACTGAGCATTCTCCTTCAATCAGGATCCTATTAAAACCAATCAAACTGAAACAATTAAACTGAGTATTTCTTATATAACATATTCTTAATAAAGTTGTACTTCCACGAATCTGACTATGAGTATATTCCATTAATCTTCTGCACGCACCTTTAACAAACTTCATAAACAAGAACATGACACTTTAACTTCTTAAGTGGCTCATGAAAGATGTACACTGCAAGAAACAAACACTGAACTGTTCTTGCTTCGAATCAAATTCAGGTTCTCGAAACTAAATAATGTGACATCACTTATATCTTCTATCATTAATCACCATGGCTCCCTATGGTGCTAAGGCTTGTAAGTAACAAATGGATCGTGTTATTGTCGGAGATAGGGCCCTGAAATATGGTACATATACATCGGTTTATTAAAAGCATTCCTAATGCTTTCACACTGATTTATCCTCAAGTCACAATTTCAAGTCTAAGAAGTTCTATAGTCATCTGAAGTGACCAGTCTAAAAACCAGCCTGTTTAGATTGAAAATGATCACAAATAGTATAAAATAAATCACGAGCACAGAAACACAGGCATAACAGTTTTAAAATAAGGCCTAATTTTTTGAAACAGGATCGGCACGTTTTTAAAATGTTCTCAGACCAGGACCAGAGCAGACATGAATTATAACCGAGTGATATCCTTGTATGCACAGTCGTTAAACAATAATATATAGACATTTAAACTTATGCTATCAGATCCTATTTAATGGAAATATAAACTTACGAAGACAAAGATCCGGTTTTGAACCAGGGACCATAGCGAACAAGCTCTAAAACACACACTTACTGCATGCCTACATGCCTACTTTTGTTACGGTCTGAAAAATGCCCACAACAATCTTCCAAACAGTAACAAACGTAGGCAAACTGTTAAACAGCTTAACCACAACGCCCGTAGAAAAAGACCGCTGTTGCGTTAAGACCAGGTCTGCCCTGTGCCGTTGATGGCGATATTCCGTTACGTAAGCAGAACCACCAGGTAATAAAACCTGCCAGTGGCCCCTGAAATAAGCTACTTCGTTCCGAGTTGATCTTCACAGCACGTTTTAAGTTCAATTTTAATATTTGCCTCCCGTCTTCAACTGCTGCTTCCAATATCTTTGAAACTAAAACTGCGTATTTCATTTTTCTACCATGTCCCGGTCATCAGTCCTCTTGATTTAATCACCACATTACTAAATTATCATTCCCTCTTATTTTGTTTTGTATTGGAGTGAAACGTAATCTTTTACTTTCAGAAAATAGCGTAAGTTACAAGTAAAGTGGCCAAATAAATATTTAACCCCCCCCCCAAAAAAAAAAGTGATGGACGATATCACATACCAAGAACTTTTGTTATGACAGTGAAATCTAGGAGACAAAGATAGACTGATTAGTGCAGAGTGAGGTAGGCTACTAAACTTATTTTTGTGTGCCGTTCAGTGAATAGATTCAAAAAACAAGGTATATCACCACAACTTTCAGAAAATCCTATATTATATCATCCGATTTTCTATTGCTTCTGAAACTGAACAATTCTTCCTCTGAAGTAATTTCCTGTCCGCAAGAATATTTGTTTAAAACTTTCTCTCTCCTCTGAAAGACTAGTCTCTATTGTGCAAATCATTTGTTACGTATTTTGAAGCTTAACAACATTTTATGAATCTGTATAAAAATGAAACAAGCAAACTTTTTGTCAATACCAGCCTCTGCGTTAATTAACTTCATTTAATGAGATCAATGCACATGGCAAATGTAGGTGCGTAGTTAAAAGAAACATCCACACTATTAAAACGTACGTAGACACAGGATATAACTCACGTATTGTTATCCTCGGAATCAGATATATATGAATGGTCAGCTTCAAGCTCTAGCCGTTTTATAC